ATTGTGACACGAAAATATATGTGGAATGCACGTACAATATATGTGGTTTAGAGTCTTTGGTCAAAAAAATATATATGTGGTTTAGAAAATTATATGTGGAATGCAAGTCATGAAAATTAGTACTATATGTCGAATGCACGTACAATATGGTGTAGAAACATGTGGTTGCGTACGTAAAATATAGACAATAGAAGATTCCGTATGTATATGAAATTTTAATTAGTAAATCGTTATAGAAAATAGAGGAAAAAATATAGTTTAATTAGTAATTTTCTCAGAACAAAACATATATACCTTTTAAACATATATATATGCATGTATAGCATATCCGTGTTTATTTTTCTTTAAACATATATTTAATAGTATAATAAAAAAGCATCTAAAATCGAAGTACTTCCTTAGTAGTTTACACTTTACAACGGTAGAAAGATATAAAACAAAAAGCCGTAGAAATGTTTTTATTTTTTATTTTTTATTAAAAGCCGTAGAAATGTTTCAGGAGTGTTTTTATTTGTTTACCCAAGAACTGATTATCCTCTATATATTAATGAGTTAACGATTTAAGGGACAAGTCGTTTAAATTAACCAATAATAATATTTCAATTAAAATTATATGTTATGGTGAAAATTTTTACTTATTCTTATTAATTTTATAATATAAACTCATTAATGCATGTTTTACAAATCTAAATCCAACTAAAGTAAGTGGTATTAGACTTACCAATTTTTTTTGTCGCAATGAAAATCAATTTTACACTTAAAATATGTAATATTTGCATATATTTTAATCAATTTTATACATAAAAATATTAAAACTAATGGCATCAAAATATGTTTAATTAAAATTTAACTTTCTTATATTTATACACAATACATATCATTTTTGTACTTTTATAGATATTAGGAATCATATATTTGTTATACGCGTTTAAATACTAAAATTGATTAGTCAACATATTTAATCATTTTAATCCGCGCTTGCCGCGGGGTTAAAGTCTAGTACTATGATTATTGTATATTCTAATTGCGAACTCTACTCTTTCTTTTATTTTCAAAATAAATTTCAATGTTAAGATGACCTTGACCTCTACATTTTGTTTTATATAAGAGCATCAATAACGGAGAGACTCTTGAAAGTCTCTAACTTA